CATATGGACAAAACTGACTATCACGACAAAATGGACGCACTAGTTAACGACAAACGAACCTACGAAGAACTCAAACGTGACCCAACTCCTGCCCTTCAACGTAAACTCAACAGTAAACTACTGACACTCAAGAAAACGAACGCCTTTGACACCCAACGGTACTATCGACTGAGGTGCTCGGTACCACAGCCACCGAAACTCTACGGTTTGCCGAAACTACACAAACCTGGTTTCCCGATGCGACCTATTGTTTCTTTCTGTGGCTCTCCCACATACCAACTATCCAAGTACCTGACGACAATACTACAACCGCTAACCGACAAATCCAGACATAAACTACAATCCACTGAAGACTTCATTAACGCTACCAAGACTGTTCAGATACCTGACGACTACAAACTAGTGTCATTTGATGTGAAATCACTGTTCACAAATATTCCACTTCAATTGGCATTACAATGCACTGAGACTGCAATCCGACAATCTACCGACCCACTACCGCTACCGACAGACGACATTATGGACTTGCTAAAAATTTGCCTAACGTCCTAAAATATATTTCCCTATTACTTTCCAATAAACGTTTTAAGAAAAGAAATTACTCTTGAAAAATCATCGACTGTTATCAAGGTCCGCTTCGCCACCGACAATGCAGATACTAGCAAGGCCATATGCAAACCCGGAAGAACTAGCTATCAGCAACAAAGCTGGAGGACGAAGAACTTGTTATAAGAAATCAAGAGAGGTCAAGATTTCGAGCGAAATGAAAGACAGAGGAAAGACCTCGAGGAGATGAACAACGGTGGGTGTAAAAGTTTCCGTCGCTTGAAGGGGAGGGGCGATGGCGATAAGTATTTTTGTGGTCATTTTTTGGGGAAAATCTGGCCCGTTGTTTGGTCCGTATAAGGACGTTAACTCTTACAAATAAAGACGAAGATCTATGGTGAGGAGGCCGTAGTCATTGCTGGAAAAGGAAAGGAAGGCAATTAAAATGGAAAGGGATACCAAGCAACATTTGTGCAGCCTCTGGGCATATGTGTGGAGCACAAGAAGAACACATTCATCACCCATGCTCAAACAGGCTCTGTGAAGCTGGTTACCTTGATAAAAGGCATTGTTAATTATCTAGGCCATCTTGGACTCCTTTATAAAGCCTTTTCTCGTCATATGAAACATCAGACTGCACCAAAACGTTCCCTACCACAAGCAATCGAGCTTCTGGAAGAACTTGACAGTTACTTGGAAACAATAACAGAAATAGCGTTATCGTATAGCAACGAAGTCAACGATACCAGCACAGATAAACCAAGTGGTCCACAAGGAACTACCTCTAATCAGACAAAGCGTTCGGCGAACATGATCTTAAATGGACTGAAATATCTGGAGGCTTTAGTTAAAGAACACAATCCAGGCCTCGCCATTGATCTGTACTCCTGTCTTACGGTTCAGGTTGAAAACCTCCACGCAATTGGTCATTTCAAAGACCAGTTTCCTACCCTTTTGCAGTACGCACGGAATTTGACAAAGACCGTATACGAAAGCATTAAGCGTGTGGTACCTTGGAGTGCCTACTATTTCACGCACGATAAATCCTATCATCCCACGTTACGCCAGAGCACTCCAATAAATGCCATTCCGAAGCTGGAGCATCTCAACGCAAGAAGGGAGTTGAATAGGCAGGGAAAAGACCTCATGATTGAGTGGACGACAAATGATGGGAAGGGTGCACGGCAGAGAGGTGTGAGGCAAGGGAGCACCATGTTTAAGGCCGGAACATTGCCGTTAAATATGTAAAGAGCATCCGACTATCCTAGAGATAAAATCTCATTTAGCCATAACACTATCCAAGAGGGGACTGTTACTTCTGCTACAACCGTTACGACTGTTACGCCTCCTACATCGCACGAGGCCATCGAAGACGATAAAGCAGTAGAGGCAGCAGAGGTAGAAGACAAGGAATCCGTATGACACTGACTGAGACGCTGAATATTCTATATAGAGGAAACAGTCAAACAGGAAACGCCCACGCCGCAAAAACCCCTAAACCCAGGAGCAACGCCTTTCTCCCCAGGCCAAACCACTCGAACGTCAGAACTAACTGATCGCATGGAATGTTTAATCCAGTTTATGGCCAAAAGAGAACTAATTTCAAATAAAATTGAGAAGTTCGACAACCGCCCCGAAAATTACACCACCTGGAAAGCCGCTTTCAGGAACATGACAAGAGAGGTCAACATCACAGCAAGCGAGGAACTGGCTCTCATGATAGAACACACAACTGGTGAGTCGAAAAGACTCGTTCAGCGGCTGCGCAACACGTATGCAGAAAATCCAGCTACTAGCGTTAGGGAGTCCTGGAAGAAGTTGAGCGAACATTTCGGATCAACGGCCGTCGTTATCCAAGTGTACCTGAACAAGCTAGTAATGTTTCCAACACTTAATCTAAAGGACAATAAAGGGCAGCAGGAATTGGGCGACTTGCTCCTGGAACTCAAATATGCCAAACAAGACGGAGGGCTTACAGGCCTGAAAATCCTCGATGAGCCAGCTCTCTTAAAACCATTACTCGTTAAATTACCCAGTGATCTTCAGTCAAGGTGGCAAAGACACGCTTACTGTTACAAGTCTCAGCATAGCGTAGATTTTCCCCCATTTTAGGAATTGGCCTCTTTCATTCAAGAAATTGCACGGGAGCGGAGCGATCCCAACTTGTCTATTGAGACCCCAGCTGAGGAATCACGACAACCAAGACCTCCTCTAAAACCCCCTAAAAGCAAGCCTCCTAAAGGACCGCCTGTCACACCTCCTTCTATGCCCCCTGCTGAACCGGCCAATGGCCTGACCTTTGAGCAAGGACCAAACGCAATGAGGACCGAACTCTCGGACACCACACCCGAAGGCTCGACTCCACGGGACTCAGCTAAATTGTGCGCTATTCAAAAGCTGTGTCTCGTGTAATTATGATGTAAATAGTTTAGTTTAGATACTTTTTTATTTAATTATGTAATTTATTATACTATAGGTGATTTTGTATTTTGTAAGGCGCTTTTGATCATATGTGCATGTAAAAGGCGCTATAGAAGTATCAAACATTATTATTATTATTATTATTATTATCATCCTCTTGGCAGGTGCCGCGTCTTTAGGTCCAAGTCACAAACCGAGCAAAAGGCCCTGCTCGCTGAACACGGGATCCGTTTTCGCTGCCTTGCGTCAACCAATCATATGGCTAAGAACTGTACGGCAGTTATCAAATACAGCGAATATCAAAGCAACAAGCACATGGCAGCTTTATTACACACAGGGCCCATCAACAAGCCAACAACAAAAGCTGGGCAGCAGCAAGAGGCCCACCAGCAAGGCGAGGAGGCAATCTAAGTTTCAGCCAGTTGCACAGAGATATGAGGAAGCGCAGCCAGGAGTAGGTCCTGTTCAAAGATATGTCTTGCTGACGTCTATAAGAAAGGCCAGAATGCTCACAAGAGTAAAGCTTATGTCGTCATAGATAACCAAAGTAACGGTTCCTTGGCCAAAACAAAGCTCTTTGACCTCTTGAAGTTGAATGGTGAAGCCAAACCCCATACCCTGAAAACATGTTCTGGAACTAGCCAGGTGAGCGGAAGGCTTGCCCACGACCTAATCATTGAATCTTTGGACGGCACCCGTAGCTATACACTCCCGGTCCTCACTGAGTGCGAGGCAATCCCAGACAGCAGAGAAGAAATACCAACACCGAATGTCGTTAGAGCCCTTCCTCATCTACAGCCCATAGCAGACGAGATCCCAGAGCTATGCCTAGGAGCTGAGATCCTGCTGCTTCTCGGTAGAGACGCAGCACTCCTTCATAAAATTCACGAGTCTCGAAACGGACCCAAGAATGCCCCATGGGCCCAGCGTCTCGATCTGGGATGGGTAGTCATAGGAAACACATGTCTGGATGGAGCTCATAAGCCTAACAAGATGTCAGCCTACCGGACACAAATCCTCCACAACGGCCGACCCTCCTGTCTCCTTCCTTGTACCAACTGGCTACGCCGTAAACATTGTCCCTTAGCAGACTCAACGGCCTACTTGGTGACAGACAAAAAGAAAGGAGCCTTCGTCAAAGGAAAGTTCCAAGATGGATTAGGAGACAATGTGTTTGCATGATAGGTGGATGACAACAAACCGGGGATGTCAATGGAAGACAGGAAGTTTATCGTCATTATGAGCCATTCATTGACCAAAAGCGAGTTGGGACATTGGGAAGCTCCCCTACTCCTACACGAGGAAACAATGGTTATTCCCGACAACCAAAAGGACGCCCTCCATCGCCTCAAGTCAACTAGACCAACTATATACAAAAAGCCTCTGATGAGGAAACCCTATTTCCACTTCATACAGAAACTCTTGGAGAACGACCACGCGGAGCCAGTACCAGACGAAGGGACACCTCAGTCAAATCACCGATGGTATCTTCCCCATTTTGGAGTCTACCATCCTCAAAAGCCAGATAAGATCCGCGTGGTCTTCGACTCCGCTGCAGAAACCAACGGAGTTTAACTGAATAAGCTGCTACTTTCAGGGCCTGATCTCACGAACAGCTTGCTCGGTGCCCTGATTCGCTTCCGCCAGAACCCTGTTGCCTTAATGGCAGACATCGAACAGATGTTCCACTCTTTCTTGGTACGAAAGAGCACAGGGACCTATTGCAGTTCTTTTGGTACAAGGATAACGACCCGAACGGAGAGTTGATCGAGTACCGCATGAGAGTCCATGTCTTTGGCAACACGTCATCACCTGCAGTAGCCACCTCAGTTCTGTCTTCGAAAAACTGCCGAACTTGGAGAAGAAGAATTTCGCTCAGATGCCAAAGAATTCGTCCACAACAACTTCTACGTGGACAACGGACTTAAGTCTGTGATCGATTCTGCTGAAGGCATCGATCTTTTAAGTCACACTCAAGCATGCTAGTAGCATACAAGCTTCGCTTACATAAGATAGTCTCCAATGATCCAAACGTAGCTCAGACGTTCCCAAAAGAAGACAAAGCTTCCGACGTCCGTGATCTCGACTTCTCACAGGACACTGTTCCGAAGCAACGCGCCCTGGGGGTGCTTTGGGACGTTTCGAATGACGCATTCACCTTCCGAGTTTCTACGGGGGAGAAACCATTCACCAGACGAGGTGTATTGTCTGTCATCGACAGCTTGTATTATCCCTTGGGATTCGCTGCTCCAGTTGGCGTTAAAGGCAAGTTTCTCTATCGATCCATGGTGACTCGTCATGACAACTGCCAACCAGAAAACTGGGACGAACCTCTCCCACAGGAGTGGAGACTTACATGGGAAGCCTGGTGCCAAACTCTGACAACGTCGAGAGTCCCTCGTTGCTACACGACAATCCCATTCAATGCAGTCAGTCGACGGGAGCTCCACACCTTTTGCGACACCTCCAACGAAGCGATTGCAGCTGTGTCCTACCTGAGAATTATCCAGGACAACGGAAACGTCCAAGTCTCCTTCGTCCTTAGGAAAGCCAAGCTAGCTCCCAACCATGCCACCAGTGTCCCTCGCCTCGAGCTGTGCGCTGCAGTGCTGGGAGTTGAAATAGTGGAGCTGATTATTGAGGAGTTGGATATTGAACCCGAGGCTATCACATACTACTCTGACAGCAGAGTTGTTCTCGGTTACATCACCAATGAGTCTCGGCGCTTCTACGTGTATGTCAGCAACCGAGTGGAAAGGATCAGGAGAGCTTCGAACCCAGAACAGTGGCGTTACGTGCTCACACAGCAGAACCCCGCTGACCCGGCCGCACGGTCCGTTAATGCCTAGTCCTTGAATGATAGCATATGGCTTAATGGACCCCTATGTCTCCACCAGTGTGAAAACTCCCTCAACAGGCCTGCAGGGCGGGAAGCCGCACAACCCGTAGAAGCCGACCGCGAAGTGCGCCCCTTCATCCAAGGGCTGGTCACAAAAGCTCCACCTAACACAATTTTGGGTACCTGACGTTTCTCCAGGTTCTCAAAATAGATCACGCTCGTAAAAGCAATTGCTTAACTCATCCTGTTTGCTCGGAAGAGCCAGAAATCCAGGACATCAGAAAGCCCAGAAATTATACCATCTGTCCACACCCTCCTGAAAGCGAAGTACTAGGTCATCCAGAATGTCCAACGCTTCCTCAAGGAATCAACGAAGTTACCCAAAACAAGCTCTCTGATCAAGCTAAGCCCAGTGATCGACAATTACGGACTGTTGAGAGTTGGTGGCCGACTGGAGCGGTCCGACTTGAGTTACGAAGAAAGCCATCCCTTTATTCTCCCGAGCTCCCGTCACGTCGCAATGCTGGTGGTCAGACATTATCATGAGAGAGTGCAGCATCAGGGACGACACTTCACCCTCGGTTTAATCAGGAGTAGTGGATTTTGGATTGTGGGTGGCAAGCGACTGGTTAACACCATTATCAACAGCTGCATAAAATGCAAGAAGCTCAGAGGCCGAAAACAGATCCAGAAAATGGCAGATCCCCCTAAGGCTCGTCTCACCCCAGCCCCACCTTTCAGCTACGTTGGGCTCGAAGCTTTTGGACCATGGCTAGTCAGAACCCGGCGAACTAGAGGAGGTGCTATGAACAACAAACGTTGGGTGGTACTCTTCACATGTTTGGCAACCAGAGCCATCCACATTGAATTGATCGAATCCATGGACACTTCTAGCTTCATAAATGCACTGCGCAGATTTCTAGCCTTACGAGGTCCAGCCTTACAGCTCCGCTCCGACTGTGGCACCAATTTCACAGGGTCTACAACGAGCTGCAGTCCGGCCTCGAAGCCGTGAACAACCCAAATGTTCAGTCATACTTATCGTCCAAAGGCTGTGAATGGATCTTCAATTCCCCTCATGCCTCTCATACAGGGGGGCGTGGAAACGCATGATAGGGGTTGCCAGACGCAACCTGGATTCCATTCTCGCCGACGTCAGTCCCACACACCTTACGCACGAAGTGCTCTCAACGCTTATGGCCGAGGTCACAGCGATAGTGAATGCTTTGGTGCCAGTTCCTACTGACCCAGATATGCCAGAGGTTCTTACACCAGGCACCCTGCTCACTAAGAAGTCCCAGAGACTGAAAGCTGCTTCTGGGAATTTCAGCCAAGCGGGCCTCTACAGCAGGCAGTGGAGACAGGTCCGGTATCTGGCAAACCTCCTTTGGGCTTGCTGGCGAAAAGAGTATCTACCGATGCTTCAAACAAGGAGCAAGTGGCAACAAGAGACTAGAAAGTTGAGGAAGGGAGATCTAGTACCTCTTGCCCGCATTACCAAGGCCTACACCAGTAAGGACGGAAAAGTGCGTAAGGTTGACCTCACGACAGCTAAATACGGGACAACAAAAACCTACACAAGACCAGTCACTGACCTCATCTTGCTCAGAAGCGAGGTCGATTTCGAGAAGATGAAGACTCCTGTAGGATGAACTCTTGCGAGCATAACCCTAGTTGCTGTCGCATTAGATTTGTACAGCGGTATTTAGCTGAATTTTGTTACCAGTCTTTGCTCGGACAAGTGACACATGTTTTTCGCTGTTCGAGACAAGGTTGTACCTCGGCCAACCTAAACCAATTTCAGGGCGTTAAATTTGCTTTAGGGATCTTATTGTCAACGGTTTTACTCGTCCTATATCAACGGAAAGACTAAACGGAAACGGAAAGCGATGTAACAAGTAACCTTAAGGAGTGATTAAAGATACAAAAAATTCTAGGAGGCCGAGTGTTTTAATTTTCAGGACAGCATTTATTACCGACGGTTACATCTATATTAAGTATTATTTGCTTGGGAGCGTTGAGTTATGCTTGAATGCTTTTGTGGGGAGTTTTTCCCTTTACTCACCCCTCCCCTTTACATTCACTAATCAGTTGACATTTTACAGGCCTCATCAAATAAGCTTTCAAAGCTTATGTGATGGAAGGTCTGTAAATTTTTAACATCTTGATTGATGCAGGAACATGTATTGTGTATTCGCTTCACAGGCCGCTGCCGTTGACTGCCCTCCGCTGATCTAAATGTTCTGTAAGGATTGCGTGACAAGCGGCAAGGGCACGCATCTTTACCATAAACACGATCATTCTTCCTTCATATTCAGTAATATTTGTTTGGGAACCTTAAATTATCCTTGAATGCTTGTAGGGGATTTTTTTCTCCTGCTTAAGGTGGCCGAACACCATTTTTGATACCTTTGTTTCTTTTACCATTTTCTCTAAAACCCTTGATCTCTCGGTCACAAAAATTGGCACCAAGCAAGTTAACAACACAAACTTTCTTTTTTTGATAGTTAAGCTGACGTGCGTGCCGTTGCCATGACGATATAAAGAGATATAAATAAGCAATTAAAATCGATTTTGTTTCTTTGTAAAAAATCTAGTCATTACATTTTCTTTATAATTTGCATGCAGTGAGCATGTAACGATACTCACAAGTTAACACCATTTTGTTAACAATTTCAAAAAGATTTTTTATCATCCCGTGCTGAAGGTTCACTCGATTTGCTAGAATTTCCTTTCTTTAAAATCAATTTTTTTCAATACTCCAGTTACTTATTTCCTAGAGTATTTTTGTGCCAAATTTCGTGAAATTCTAATGAGTGGTTCTCAAGAAATAGGCATATTTCCGAGAGAGCAATTTTCCATTCAATCGCAATTTTTTACTTACTACGCATGCGCTGCATTTAACTGGTTCCTTCCGGTGACGACGAAAAAGCTGAGAATTGCTGGGTTCTTTCACCGTTAACTATTCTAACATATCTTTGTAATAAAACATTACAACCCTCTATACATTGAGCCAACTATAGAGAAAAATAGCACAGATAGTGCGGGTACGTGTTGGGTAAATGAAATGACCGCTATGTTGACCGCATGTTTGTTTTTTGCAATCCTTGTGCGCGCGCTGAATTGCATCAGCAAAAGCGCGCGCGAAAACTGTGTTCAGCCATCTTAATTCACCCCCTCCTCTTTTCATTTACTAATCTGATGACATTGTTTTCCAGGCTTTTTCAGATAAGCTTTCAGAGCCTATCTTGTCAGTAATAATTTTTTTCAGCTTGATTAGTGTAGGAACACACTGTACACTTGTCATGTTATTGTGCCTTTACTTGTAACGTTGTTCTACTTTTCAAGCTGTAAGCTTCCCACATGTGGGAGAAGATTTACGAGGGTAGGTATTGTCCTGTGTACAAGTGTCTGGGAATCATGACCAATCATCAAGTGCTTAGCACGCAATAACTGATACGATCAATTTGACACTTTCGATATACATAGATGAAATGAATGTCTTCACGTATGACATACAATCAGATTACTTCTGCGTCGATAATCTGTACCATGGTGCGCTTTTGCACAGTTGTGCATATGTAATGATTACCTGCGGCTACTCTGAACTTGTTGGAGGGCCTCGTGGATGCAGTGGTTCTGACCCGACAAATGCTTTATGTGAGGCGATAGAAGTACGCAGAAGAAGCATCAAGGGTCACTTGAAGTTTTATGACTACTTTGACTCAACTTTGAAAACGGAGGCAGATCTTCTCGCCAGGGCAGGTAACATCTCAATATTTCTCACGATTTCTTATTGATTCTGTAGACGTTATGTAATGTATAAACAATAAGATAACTCGAGAAGCTACCTAACGATGGTTATTGAAGGCCTAATGAAAATAGTTTTGCTTCGGTTTCTTTTTTTTCCCAAGTTATATTTCCTGTATTAATAAAAGTATGAGAACTGATTAACTTGTTGACCGTACTGACGACAGCGGATAAAGACTAGCTTTTAGTTGTTACAAGCATTTTCATACGCTAGTCCCCCAAAAAGCGTTCAAGCATAATTCAACGTTCCCAAACAACTAATACTAAATATAGAGGAAGAGTGCCAGTGTTTGTGGTAAAGACGCGTGCTTTTGCAACTGTGACCCAGGACTTGTGGGTCTGCCTATCACGCAATCCTTACCGAACATTTCGAGACAGCAGAGTGCAGTTCACGGCAGCGAATACACAATCAATATTTGCCGCTGATGCACGGTGTGTACAAATTTATGAACAATGCTCAAATCAAAGTATAAATATGGCAAACACATTCATCTTACGGTTTGTATCCGTCCTCGGCCGTTTCGAACTGGACGATGTTGCATTTTAGCTTCTTTTGGTTCGAAAATAACCCCTAAAATTTTCACTCTCAGGCTACCTGAGCAGCAGAAACGACAAATGTTGAGAAAAGTTAACTTTTTATTCAGATTGGTGACGATATTTCGCTCCCAAAGCGGCCTGTTGTCTTTTCCACGTGCGCATCGTTGATTTCACCTCCAATTGCGTGACAAGGAATGGTGTGTTTTGACCTCTGAGACACCTGTTTGGGTCCTAAAATTTCGTAGTTTGAGTAGTCCAAAAATTTTATTGGAGTTATTTGAAGAAGAAACCTTGTTCTTTTGCTGGATTAACTTGATATAACCCCATGACATGTACCAGGACGCGATTTTACCCTCTCAATCTCGCCACTTTTTTGTTAACCAAAATATGCCTTTGCTTCAGCAAATCTCTACTAATAAAATGAGTCAAATATTGGAAAAAACCAAAAATTCCCCAAAAAGTTAGATTGCAACGGAATCGAACAAAGAACACTTCAGACTGTTTGTAAATACGTGTTCTTTTCAATAGGAATATATTTGGTCCTATTAACTGTTTTGTTTATTTTTAATCGATGTTCAAATAATAGTTGTCTAAACCTCTTGAATTCGAAGCTGACGTGAGAGCCACAAAACCGATTTTGCCGCCGTTCGCAATAAAATAAATATGCAATTGAACTCAAAGTATTTTTTCTCGAAATAAAGCATCCAGACTCATATTCTGGCAAAGTTTGGGGATTTTCAATGTTTTCATATTGCACACCTCCGGACGTTATTTACGGATGGCCACTCTTTAGTAGTTAAAGGGCATGTTAAGAAGACGTTAATGAACTTGTGCGCGTGCGACTCGCGTGCGCGTGCTTTGGGACTACGTAGGCTAATGATATCGTAAGCAAATCACGCGGACCTTTTAATTTCCACGTGTGCGATCTTTTAGAGGGAGTTAAAAAGTTTTTAGTTTTTCGAGTAGCAGTTTTGTTTAATGGTCGTTGTCGTTTGCCATGAGTCTACAGTTTACCGCGTTAAAGTGTTTGTTTGGATTTTCCGTTTCGCTTCCGAACATTTTTGGCGGCCACGATGGGAGCAAGGTATGAGCTGTATTTTTTTTGGAGATTTCGTTTTCGAGTTGAGTGCTATGGCTTAATTCCGCTGAATCCGAGAATTGCGAAGTTGTTGAAGTTACCGTGAAAAACGACAAAACTGGACCGAGCGGAGTCGACAAACAGAAGAAAAAAGACGTTCTGTGGATAGAGATTAAGAAAAGAAAACGTAATGCAAAGACGAAATTGACAAAACTCAGACATGAGTTGGAAAAACTATGCTTAAGAGATTCAGAATTAACGGACATAGAAAGTGTGATTGAACAGCTGTGGGCGGCGCTAGAGGACGTACAAGAGATTTTAGAGGAACTGACCGCCTTCTATGTGGAATTCGAAGAAGAAGTTGCAAAAAAAGAAGCGTTTGAAGAGTCCGAAACGATCGAAAGAGAAGTACAAAAAACGATTGAAGCGGGTCAAAATGCGATTAAAGTCCGCGCGTCCAAAACCGAAAATATGAACTGGCCATTAAGCGAGAACACAGCGGATCGCTACGAGCAATCGACCCGAGAAGATCAGCTTAACGAAAGTCACGGAAGCCACGACGTCCGGAACCGATATCTGAAGCCGTTAACAGTTCCCACGTTCAATGGTGACAAGAGAAAGTTTGAAGATTTTTGGGCCCTTTTTACAAGTCTCGTAGACGAGTCAACGGAGCCAGTACATTTGAAAATGGCAAGATTACGACCATGCCTTATAGGGAACGCTTTGGAAGCCATCCGTGGTCTTGGAATTACCGCCCCCGAATACGAGGAGGCAAAAGAAATATTAAAGACGAAGTATAGAGGTACGCACCGGCTTCTGCGAGCCTACTTGGATCAACTAGAACAGGCGCCGTTAATAAGAAGCAACGATATCCTCGCGCTGGAAGAGTTTGCTGACCTTGTTAGAACTACAGTGGTAAAGTTACAGACCGAAGGAAGAGACGGTGAGTTACGAGATGGAACTCTTCACAGCCTGCTGGTAAAAAAGTTGCCTGATCGTCAGCTAGAGAATTACAGTCGCTGGTTAAACGAACGCGCCAGACAAAGATCAGTCATAGCTCTCAGAGGCTGGTTGAAAGACGAAGTGAGATTCCGAATAGAAGCAGCGGAAATGGTGAACGGGATTGAGTCGAAACCTGTCGAGC